GGATCTGCTCTAGATGTCGACCCCATTCATTTAAACTTTTCTAAATAATGTCCCTACCACTCAACATTAAAAGACCGAATACATATTTTTAAATCGTTTAGGTGGTTTAGCTGGCTCCCCAATTCAGGCCGGGGTAAGACCAGATTTGCACTGCTTTAGCTAGGTTCGGGTCACTTTTCAGTACATAATTTAGACTTAGGTTTCGAGGCTGGCTCAGGCCATAAGACCTCACCCTCCGGGAATTGAATCCCGACTTTTTAATAAAACTGATCACTCAAACTAAAAATTTTTTTCAATCAAATTCAAGCTCAACACATAGGATAGGCTCGAGTGTTTTCTAAATTATTTCAGAATCCCAAAACACCTCCTACCATTCTTCCTTTGATTCCAGAAATAAGTGCTCAACATTGAACCAATCCCATTTAAAAATTCCAACCCTTAACCTCCTTTGATATCGAACTTTGAAACTCCAGATAAAATTTCTACTGCTATTTTAATCGAGAGTATTCGTAGGGAAATTTCAATTTTCCTACGATGTAATTAACTTACGAGGGCTTGCGCTCGTAAGAGATTTAGAAACCCAGAATTGATTTTCAAAATTAATTTTTTAAAACTATTAGTTAATTATCTTTGGGAAATTCAAATTTGACGATCATTATCGTCATTTTCAAATGATTAGTAATAGACAATATTTTCTTTCCTTGGAAAGATATGTCCTCATATTATTATGATTTTGAATTTGAAATTAATGATCCTTTTATCCAGATTAGCGTAGGTAAACACTTGATTAAATTCCATTTTGATCCTTCGAGGTCAAATGTGATTCTTTCCCGAGTTTGACTATGGTAATCAGGATAAAGTTAAAGTTTTATAATCTGAACCTATTAGTGAACGATAGTCTCGTCTTTTTGAGATGATATATATATTATTCCTAATAATGTATTCGATTTCGAAACCAAAATTAAAAATTTCTTCCCAAAGAAAATTAATACATTTTCAAAAATATACATATAAATATTTTTTTTTAATTAATAATGTAGTGGGTTGTTGTTGAGGATGGTCGAGCTCTTGAAGTAATCAACGAAGCCAAATAACTTCATTTGTAGCCATTGTGATTGCCTTATATTATGCTTTACTAGATGACCGAGATATTGTGGATTGTTTCTTTTCACACCATGAGATTAAAGTAGAGCCCAAGAAGTTGCAGTATCATGTGGTTGACTTACGATCTTGATGATCGTCGGCCAAGTCAGAGTTGGTATATGTGCTAAGCATAAGAGGTCCGAGAGTAATTGGTAAACCAGAGTGTAGTGATCCTCGAAGATAGCGTAGAATCCATTTTAAGGACTCAAAGTTTGAATCAGTTGGTTTTTATTGTTGTTGGAGTGGTAATGTCTAGTCTTGTGAGAGTAAGGTATTGAAGAGCTCCCACGAGTTGATGATATAACTTTGGGTTGTTGAAGGCGGGTGAGTTCGATGGTGAGTTGGCTTTTATTGTTGTTGGAGTGGAAACTGGCTTGATGTTTAGCATTCCTGCATGTATCAGGATTTATTCTGCGTATCGTGATTGATGTAGGATTAGTTCTGTTGGAGTGTGCTCAGCTGAAATACCAAGAAAATGGGTCAAAGTGCCTAAGTTTTGCATGTTGAATCGCTGATGTAAGCGATTAAGGAGAGTATTAATTGATTGAGAGTTGTTTCCTGTTAAAATAATGTCATCAACATAAATTAAAAAGTACATGATAATACCATTTTTACAGTAGATGAGTAGAGATGGATCTGAATGACTGGTGATGAATTTCCATTCCATGAAAGAATCTTGTTAATGTTTTGAACCACTTTCGTGGTGCTTGTTTAAGACCATATATGGCCTTATTCAACTTACATACGTGTGTTGGAAAATTTTCGTCAATAAACCCCGTAGGTTGTTTCTTATATACTGTGTTAGAGAGAGATCCGTGTAAGAACACATTTGATACATCGAGTTGACATATGATCTAATTATGATGTAAAGAAATTACTAATAAAATGTGTACAATAGGTATTTTGGATGCGGGACAAAAAGTTTATGTGTAGTCTAAACCAAACTCTTGATTGCAACCTAGCACAACTAATCGAGCTTTGTACCGAGCGACAGTGCCGTTGGAGTTCTATTTGGTTTTGAACATCCATTTGCAGCCAAGAGTATGTTGTGTAGGTGATGAAGGGACAAGTTCCTAGGTGCCTTGCAATTGGAGAGCTTGAAACTCTTGAGACATGGTGGAACACCAATGAGCATGCTTGGCATCTTGAGTATAGGAGGTGAGATCGATATCATTGATTTGATGAGTAAGATCAAATATTATTTTTGGCTTAAGACTTCCAGTTTGAAAATGAGTTTCCATTGGGTGCACTAGAATTACGGGCCTGATGGATGGGGAAGTCACAAAGGAAGAGGGGGTATGAGGATTTGAGTGTGACGATGAGCTAGGAAATGATTTGTTAGTTTGGAGATTGTGAGTTAGCGGCGAGGGTACAAGCAGTAGAGGCGGAATTTTAAGGAAGGTAGCTATGGAATTTGGGGGAGTGAGAGTCGAGTGAGGTTGTTTGAAGGGAAAGTTTTATTCATTGAAGATGACATGTTGAGAGAAATATATACTATTTGTGATAATGTTCAAGCAACGATATCTTTTTTGGGAATGAGCATAACCGATGAACACACATGATAACGAGAGAGGTGATAGTTTTGACTTGACATAAGGTTGCAACCATGGGTAACAGAGACATCCAAAGGTTTTCAAATGTGCATAGGTTGGAGGTTGGTAATATAGTTGTTGAAACGGCATGTAGTTTTGAAGATTTAGTGTGGGAAGACGATTGATTAGGTGTATAGTCGTATGTAATGCTTCTACCCAAAGATGAGACAGAGCATTGGAGTGAATGAGTATATTTTGAATGGTTTCAAGAATATGATGATTTTTCCATTATGCCAAGTCGTTTTGGGATAGAGTATACGGACATGTGAATTGATGTTTAACACCCCAATGCTTGCAGTAAGCATTGAGTGTGTTGTTTATATACTCGCCGCCCCCATCTGTGTAGATGGTTTCAAGGTGAGTATTGAATTAACATTTGATAAATTTGTGAAAATTAACGAAGATGTTCGTAACCTCAGATTTTTGAAACATTGGAAAAATCCAATAATATTGGGAGTAATCGTCAATAAATGAAACAAAATATCTATATCCTTGTAGGGAGGCAACTGGTGAAGGCCCCCAGACATCGAATGCACAAGTTGAAAAGGTACAGTAGTATGAGAGGGAGATTGAGGAAAAGCTAATTGTCTGGTCTTAGCAAGATAACATGTATTACATGTAGTATTTAGGGAAGTACATATAGTGGAATCATAATGAGCTAAGTGTTGTAAGACGGTAACTGCATGATGCCCAAGACGGTTGTGCCACAAGTCTGGAACGGTTTTGGCAAAAAGCAGAGCGAGATGCGGATAATTGGACGTGGAGGGGATTTTGTCCAGACCATTATGGTAGGGCCCTTGATGAAGAAGGCGATGAGTCTTCAAATTGTTAATTTGATATCCATGAGAAGAAAAAGAAACAACACAATCATTATTGGTGATTAGCTGATTAATAGAGGGAAGATTAAAAGAAAGATTGGGAACGTGAGGAAGTTTGTTAAGGTAAGGATTATCTGTGGGAGTTGGCAGAAGTCCTTTACCTGTATTTTGTATCGGAAGGTGGTGAACATTACCAAGAATGAATGGAGAAGAACCCGTTTATGGCTCAGTTGCATTCAGCTAAGATGGGTCGGCTATGAGGTGTGATGAAGCACCACTATTAAGAAACCAGTCGGCATGATAAGTTGTATCTTGTGCAAAAAATAGTGTTGAATTAGTTGAGTTATCGGAATATGTTGGATCTGTGCGAGACCAACATCGAAGGGCGGAGTGCCCCGTTTTATTGCAGATCTAATAGAGTGTTGCAGTGAGGGTTTTTATCTATGTGTCTAGTAGAAGGGAAGGAACGACGACCTCCATTTCCTCGAGATTGACTATATCTTCCTCGACCTCGGCCACGAGGTGCTGCAAGTGCAATCAAGTTGTCTGTCAATTACAAAGATTGAAGATATTTCATTGTTTTGTGATTCAAGATCTATTCTTGCCTACATAATAGACTGTAAAGATCATCAAGATTTAAAGGTTGGAGGTTCGTGCTGAACACCATCTTAAATGACTGATACGAGGATGGAAGACCATTCAGTGTGTATAGTATCACATCTTTCGGATCAATTGTGTATCCAGTGACTAGCTTTTATAGCATCAACTTTGGATTTTACATCCAGGAGATATTGCATCATTGATTCGTCAACATTCGATAGGAGATAGGTGATGCAATTCATTATTTAGCTGGATGATTCGTGACCTCGTCGTATCTTGGAGACGATGCGCAAGAGTTGTCCATATGTCATGATAGTGCGTTAGAGTAAGGACATATGGTAAGATTGAGGGTGAAATCACCGAATATAGTGTTGCAGTGAGATTTTGACCAATGAGAGTCCATATTTTGTGCGAAGTTGAGGTAGCAAGGGCTGACGAGATGTCTAAAGCTGCGTGACGCGGAGGACATGGAAATGTGCCATTAAGGAAGCCTTTGAAGCCACTAGCATTAAAAACCTTTTCCACTTGGGAATGCCATAGTAGGTAATTATCCGCAGCGAGAGAGTTGAGAACCAGATTCTTAATATTTTTCATCAAGAGCTTGAGTTAAGGAGGAATGGTGATCGAGCGAAAGGATATTTCTAATCAATCATAGGAGTGTAGATGAATGAGCCGGTCATGAAAGCGAAGGGTCAAGATAGAGATGAAAAGAAAAAGAAAGAAAAAAATAACACTAATCTTGATAGAGGAGCTCTGATACTAAGTTAACCTGTAGTGTGTTGACCTCTATCAGGTGAGCCAAAAAGAGACAAAAAAAAGAGGGATTAAAAAATGCCTAAATCATTACCTGAGGTGGAGCTCTGCCACAAATCCTGCAAAAATCACGGATACAGTCGCCCATGCCCTGCAAGTAGCGCCGTTTGCAGTCCTCAATCGAGTGTTTTGTCTCGACTCTTCTCTCGTTGTCGTTAAAAGCAACAAGAGAAGAGCCCTTGGGCTCTCGCTTCTTCCCACAACACTTCTAAAATCCACATTGCTGCCTCTCGCTCTTCCTCCGACCGAATCCACACCACCGACCTCCATTCCTACCTCAGCTTCCAACGACCAAGCTCCCGACCAATCCTTGCAAGACCAAACTCCACCTCTGCCTGTGTCGACTCCAACCGAGGAGAGAGAAGAGAGAGAGATGAGAGAGAGAGAGATGAGGAACGACTTTGGGTGTAAGAGCACTGAAGAAGAGACTGGAAGAGAGATGAGATAGGAGAGAGAGAGAGAGAGAGAGAGAGAGAGAGAGAGGTGAGAGCCCTATACCTAGCCGACATCCACCTCCTTCTCCGATCAAAACCGCTACCTCCATTCTACCCGTCGCCTCTGCCTCCCTCAAGCCGGAGAAATATTGTGTACCAATCCAAAAGTGTGAGGGAGAATTATTTTGTTAAGTTATTAAAAAATACGCAACAAAATAATTTCTCCTCAAAGCCGATCCTTCCTATACCCGAATCGAACTCATGCCTGATCTCCCCCTTCCCCTCTCCGACTCCTCTTAAGTATTATTATTATTCTTCATTAATGTGATTATAATTAATAATATATTAATGTCATATTATTATTTATTATAATAATATTACTTTATCATCATTAGTTGTATAATTGTAATTTTATAATAACCATAATAATAATATGATTTTAATATTAATATTAGTGTTATTTCCATTATTATTATATTATTATTACTTTATTTATTTATTTTGAGATTATTTATAAATATTTATAATTATCTCAAATTTAAATTCATTAATTTTATAATTAATTTAAATTAAAATATAATTAGTTATACATTAAATATAACTAATTGTAATTTAATTATAAGTTAAATATGATTAATTCATAAACTAATCCTAATTTAAGTATAATTAATTATATAATAAGTGTAATTAATTATAATTAATTTTTAATTAATTATAAATTATGTTTAAATAATTTGTAATTAATTTTAAGTTAAATATAATTAATTATAGTTTAAATATAACTAATTATATTTAATTTATCACTAATTATAAGTCTAAAAAAATATATTTTCTTGTGGCTAGCGACGGGCCGGCAAACCTCCTACGCACTCACGTAGCGCTGCAGGGAGGGAAACCGGTGCAGTGCTTGCGACGACTTAAATCCTTCTTCAATGCTTGTGAAGAGCCGGCAAACCCCCTACGCGCTCATGTAGCGTTGTAGGGAGGGAAACCGGCGCGGCACTTACGGCGAGGGGGATAAAAAAGTTATTAAGTACCCCCGAACGCTGATGTAGTGCAGAGGGGGGAAATCTGTGCTTTTTTTAACTTATGCTCCAAACCCTTAAGCGCTCACGTAGTGGGCGGGGATTTAATAAAAAATGAAACTGCGGTGTCATTTTGACACCTACCTGAAGCCCTCACATAGCATCGAGGGGAAGGTTGCCTCTTAGTTTTTCCCCTACACGGGGGAGACGCCGGGAGGCTGCCGAAATTTCCACTAAAACTGAGGACTTGGACAAAAAAATTGGAGCTTGATTTGAATATAACTTAAGGAACTTGACATTGAAGAATGAAGTGAACCCAAAATCAAATTTAAGCTTGAACTTGAATGTGGACCGAAGTTGACAAGAACAAGGGATGCACTTGAACTCAAACAAAAGCAAGATAGCTCGAACTCATATTGAACTTGATTGAGCAGCAGGGGACCTGAACATAGAACTTGAGTTTATATTTTGAATTCGAGCTCAAGTGGAATTTGGGAATTGAACTTGCAAGTGGCACAATATAACTACATGGGACATAGAACTTGAATTTGATGCAAGAAACTTGTAAGACTTGAATCATATGCAAGAGAACTGATTTGGACATAAACAAAAAAAAAAATTGTAAGCTTGGACTTGATTGGAATCAAGCATGGTGGGTATGAACATGAACTTGAACTAGACTCAAGGAATTGAGCTCAAAGTGATAAGAAGACTTGAACCCTTACAAAAGACTTAGACTTGAATCAAATTTGATTGCAAGGGGTCTAAATTCAACATTGAACAAATGAAAGTGTATGAGCATCATCTAATGTCTAAGAAAAGACTTATAAGTTTGCAAATAATAATGTCAAACAAATGCAAAAACATGAAGCTTATGGTAAAATAAGAATCCATCATCAGGTACTTACAAGCATTTGTCAACTAGAATCAAGAAGGGCATATGAGCATATTCAAATGTATCAAACAATAATACATTCAACGGAATATGCATGAATGTCAACAAATATATGGGAAACTCATGACATATGAAGGACACAATGAATGTGATTTATTTATAAAGAAAGATCAATTGGGGGATACAACAATATGTTTGCAATCAATCAATAGGATCTAAAGAAAATTGCAAGAAATTGTCATATTGGTTGGAATACAAATTGATAACCAATAACAATGTTAATGCTATCATTCACATCACAAAACAGATGATGATTGACCCAAAGCATTTATCCTGATCATCCAAATGAAGGTAAGCATATGAACAAGAAATGTAAGACGAATGAAGAACAAGCTCTCAAAGATTATGCAAACAAAGAATGACAGAGTTGAGATATCTCAGGCTATTCAAATGAGGTAGTATCCAAGAAATGACCAAAGATTGAATGAAAGATATGCAATAAATGTCAGATGCTTATGTCATTAGCAACACTGTAACATAAACATGTACATTCAATTTTGTGAGCAGTGGAATGAACTCAAACCATATGCAGTAACTCTATTCACAACAAGCGCTGAAAGATGTCATGCTAGATATGAAGGTCACTTGTGAATAAAAATATACACATCAAACTATTCATGAATGGTGATGAGATATCGAATGAATGCTACATCACCTTAACGATCCATCACTGGTCAATATTAAGTAACTACATTGATCTGTTAAGAGCAAAGGGTTATGATACTACAACAAATGCAGACCTTTGTGATCAAAAGTAGGAGATTCGTTAGTGCACTACGATCCACCTACAGAAAGCAACGAGTAGTGCACGACAATCTACTTGTACGAAGTATCAAATAACTCAATTCAAAAGCTATTGTGCAATGCCACCAGATTCGCAACATCTATGCTAGCGGACAGAAGGCGTCTCTAAATATTCCAAGAACACCCCCACACATACACTATAGTTTGTGTACACATAGGTACACAAAGGGGTAAATATAATCATAAAACCCTTAAGGGCCCCGATGAGCGTGTTATTGGTACACACATGACGTCTAGGAATGCTACGCGGGTCAACGAGTGAATTTAAGTTTGAACTCGATCCTCCTATATGGACCAATAGGAGTAGACATGGTTCGAACCTTCAAACAAATACACTATTGTGACAACCGGTGTATTGGTTTTAATACATTCATATTAGTCCGTCAAGGCCTATAACAATGATAATTCACTAACGAAGGCTCAAAGCCTATGAAACCTGATCCCCTATCAGCAAATCGATAGGGTTGACAAGGTTTAAGACATAAATATTCTCAAATGACCCCTAACACCCCGATGATGACCATGTTGAATATAAATCTCAACCGGATGAATCCATTCCAAACATTTCAAATGTCATTCCAAACATCCAAAAACCCAAAAATCCCAAAATCATCAAAATCAAAAAGATATTTAAAATTGAAATAAATTATCAAATCACTTGAAACAAAATACATCCACCCTTCGCAATAGTTTGCCGAGGTGGACAAATTCAAATATAACTTCAGCTCACAAAGAGCTGATGCCTAGTTGAAAATATCACTAGGATCCATTCTCAAACAATCTCCTGCCAATAAGGACGTGGTACGTGTTCTCTAACCAGCAGTTTTGCTGCCAAATGGCACCGCAGGATAAACGGTTATGACCCAGGGCCCTTTGAACCGAGTGGTTTTGCCGTCAAATGGCACCACGAAATACCGATTATGGCCAGAGCCAATATGCTCATTATTGGCATCAAATCCTTGAGATATGAATCAATAGGGCACAAAGCCCTCTATTAGGTAAGGTGGATTCAAATTTGTCCCCTTAGACAAATATTCACCCTAGGTTTACAAGGTCCCCTTGGACAAAGCAACTCATGGCTGCCGACAAGGATCCTTCTGTCAGGTTGGATCAACTACCTCCTTTGACTAAGTAGACCATGGACCATGATGGCCTGGGACGACGGAACCATGGGATCTTGATCGGGTCCATCATCTATTCCCCCACCATCCGCTTTAAGTGTTAGGTGGTGAAATTTCCTATTTTAAATATCAAACTTTCAAAACCTTTTCAGATACCCAAATTCAAACCCAATTTCTAAATCCAAACTCATGTTGCTACTATATGTCAGATAACACGTATTCTCTACGTATCTGATTGACGACTAGCCTTAATTGAAAGTTCTCTCTCGTTATTGGGAGGGGTAATTAACTATAGGGGCTTGCGCCTATAGGAAACCATAACTCAGATCATAAAGTCCTCACAAAATAAGGGCGAAATCTCTTGGTACTATCTCATCTACAAACCCATCTGCCTTCCAAAATTTACCCCGGAACTTATTCCGTTAAAACTCCCCTCGCCAAAGAAAAATCACAATCAGTGCGGGCGGAGGCCAGGGCCGAATTTTCGGAGCCCACATAATGCTTTGAAGCTGTAGGATGACATAGAAGAACATATTGATAAAATGAGAAAATGAAAGATTATTTTGTATTCATTGCCCTCTCCCATGTGTATACATGGGTATATAGAGGTTTTATAAAGAACCACCGTACATTTCTATAATCCATATATATATATATGGATTATATTTTTGAAGGCTATGATGATTTCCAATATGACTATCTTTCTCTATTTTGTGAATTCAATTAGTTGGTTTAAACGTTGCTTTTGCTGCTCAAATGGTTTCATTGGTGCACTGTTAGCAATTGTTAATTTTGCTTAAACAATGCTTTATGTAGTTTAAGTACTCATTTTTACATGATGAATAAATATACCCAAAGCCTTTATTAATTGCAACAGAGGAGAGGGTTTAGAGCTCACGGGTTTCTTGGAGATCTGCAGTAGCGAGGTTCGTTCCCGGAGATCAGGGAAGGTTTTGACGAGAAGATACAACAGACTTTAAGCTCTCGGTATGGATCGTTGGAAAAGCAGTTCATCTCAGATCTCTCTTTGGAGTTCGACAGACGCTGCTAGGTGATATCTCCTCATCTTCTTCATCCCTTAGATTTTTTTGGTGGCTAGAGAACTGGACCACTGGTTTTTCTCTCTCTTCTTGATATTGAAATATAGATGAAGTGTAATCATTATTTGAGCAAGTTAATTTGATATTGACTGGTGATTTTGGTGCAATATAAATCAACTGAATTTACAAATTTTGCTTTTTTTTTTTTTCACACAGTTTCATTACTTTTACCATTAATCTTCTATTAATAATCCTAAATTAAAGGCACATAGGAGCATTAGTTGCACTTGATTTAATCATAAACACGTTTTTTTTTTTTTTTGGTCAGTTTCTGAATTACTGGCTATAAAGATTTCAAGTATTACCATTTTCTTTCATTTTTTATAAAAATTGTTGGAATTCTTTAATTGGACAGCACCTTTGGATGTTAGAAGCCTCCTATCAAAAGAACAGATAAAAAAAGAAAACAAAATTTCCACCAAATGATTAATGATACATTCTGCAATAACTTTCGGTCTTCTTACAGAACTTGTATTCTAACCAAACAAGCTCTAAGACTTAACAAAACAACTTGATTTTCTTTTCCTACAACATGAAAAGCATATCAATATGCAGTGGAAGCCATGAAAAATACAATCAAATTGTATTCACAGGCAAATTTTCTGCTATTAATTAAGATAAGAGCATCAGATCTCCTTCCCTGAATAATTGAAATGGCTCTATTTTTTTTCCTATGATTCACTGAAATCAAAGACCCTTATGAGAAATCCACCTTTCAAACATAGCATAACATTCTAATGGCATTTTACCAGGTGCCACATGACTTCCACCCTGCAAACAGTTCACAAACGCCAATTGAATGATTACTCTCAATAAATACTACATTTCACGATACTATAAATCAAACATCAAGGAATTTCATACCTTCACAGTAGCAAAAGTTAAGTTGTTCGAGAATAAAATGGTGTATCTGCAAATTCAAAATCATGAAATAAGTTTCAGTCTTGAGCAAAACAAGCTTAACATGCTATCAATAGTCGTAAGGCAAGCTATTTATGATCTCCTTACCCTGCAACTTGGCCGCCAGCATGCCACGATCTCCACGGCTCTAATACAGAGAAGTTGAGAGATTTTATCCACTCTAATGTGCCCAAGAATGGAATCCTCAAATCATGATCACCACTATTTGAATCACAAGATAATGAAAAAAAAAAAACTTAAATTTCCAAGCAAATAACCATCTTTCTAATTCTTTTTTTACATTCACAGCAAAAGAAGCTTATAAATTTACCTGTAAACCAGAGCTCGAAAACCTCGAGTAATAAGATTAAAGTGATAAGGTACAGAGCTTGGGATGCTGCGTGTGTAATGATAAGAATTCACATTGAAGTCACAGCGGTGAAATCGCTTAATAGTTGCCTAGAGATAAATTATTCACAAAATTTCAGACATTTGAATTCATCACAGGGGTGAAAGGTTATTCACTTATATATATATACCTCCTTGACATGGAGGGCCTCCTTTACAAGATTGTGATTACCCCAGTAATTTGCAAGAAGATCACCAGTCTGAACAACAATATTTCAGTAAGTTTTGATAGATCATTTAAGAAGTTTAGCAACTGCATATATAGCAGATAGATATGAAGGGAATGTGAAGAACTTAACTATACAAGAAATATCAGGAACTGACGATGACGGTAAGGTGAGGAAATCTTCAGGATTCTCCTTTAGAGACCTGATAGCTGTCGGCATTTCATTTGTGCTTGGAGGTTCATCAGAACAGTCGGGGTCCAATATACTATAAGAATTAATTTCTGACAGAAACTGAATTTATGTACAAGTTATGAGTTTCAGTCCAAATAAGAAACGAAATATTTGTGAACTAAAAAATTGAACATTGCTTACCCCATTAAAAGTATCAAGATGATTGGCGCAAAGCACGTTGTGAGGCTGCTTGAAATCTTCTCCAGCACAATTTGCCATTATTAGCTGAATATAAAGGAAGCTTCAATGTTTATGTTGCAGTGTTATTTGAACCTTTTTTGGTGATTGAAGACATCATATCTTGTCTATTAGCAGAATACATGAATAGCAAAAGAAATGGCATAAAATTTAATATTTTGGATTCAATATTATTCGTGTAATGACACCAAGACCTTACTATGGATTAAGATGAGAATATAAAGATTAGGTTCAAAAGTTCTCTTTATAAATTTGGGTTTAAAGTGGACCCCGTTGAACTTATGGAGGGGATGAGTTCGACTGAACCAAGAAGAACAATGAGTAAGAATCTGGGATTTTAGTTGGGCAAAATTTTGGACAAAAGAAAAAAAAAACTACGCCTAACTCGTGCACGACTTTTGACCTCTTTATAGGTTACATCGAAGGTTGATAGTATAGGAAAGGCTACATGATAAAGTTAAAGAAAAATGCATAACTAAGCTTCATTCAGTTAGTTGTATAGTGTGGGTTTGAAAGCCCTACATGGGGTCCCAATTGGGTGCCCATGCTTTACTTGAAACGGGCTTCACCCACCCACGCCCACCGATGACTTTCGGGACGTTGTACCCACCTATCTCAAAGGTCATTTGGCCTTTTAAGTGCCGCGCCGCACCGACACGCACATTGCTTAAATCGCCGTTTTCACCTCTTCTTACATGTTTTGATGTGTAGGGATCAACATATAGTACACTAGTTTGATTAGTAGCTGTCAAGCAGGCGAAAACTTTGGACGAGTTCTGAGTTGAGGGCAAATACCGTAGATGATTTCTTATTGTGAGAAACTTTAGTAGGCTCAACAAGTGCATTATACTATTAGCTTCCCCTTAGGTCGCTTAATGAGATGTTGCTCTAGGGTGAGTACAATATTTATATATTGAGAATCGAATATGGTCTTCTTCATATGTAACATGTGGTGTTGGGCGAGTACTAAGTTAGCTCATGATTGCAAACTTGTTGAGCAATAGATCGGGTACAAGCTTTAAAATAAATCATAGTCAAATTGTTGGGAAAGTAAAACACGCAACGAAACAAATAAGAAAGATAAAAAATGCTGTGGAGAAAAAGAGTAGCAGGATTTAACATGGAAAAATCCGAAACTAGGAAAAAAATATGGAGTCACACCACACTAAGAAATTCACTATGAAAATATGAGAGAAATAGTGCATCTCTCTCTTCTCTCTCACTCTCTTCTTGTCTCTCTTCGCCCTTGCTCCATTATCACTATAACAAATAAAAAGAAAATATACTAAAACCACATAGGGATGCAACCCTTAATGAAAAACGAGAAAGAAAACTGTCAGCCAGTCTCGCAACGCCAAATTTGGAGTGCCGCGACGCTTAACTCTCTGTCTTCTTTCTTTTAGATAGCATTGCAGCGTTGAGGTCTGGAGCTTCGTAGCACTCCATGGTAGTGTCGTAGCACCAGGGTTTGGAGTATCACAACACTCCGCTCTTTGTCTTTCTCCAAATAAACTATGTAGTGTCAGGGCACTTGGGTACACAACGTCGTAATGTACAAAAAAAAATTCATGTCAAATCACCCGAACCCAAGCAAGGAGAGGACCCCCTGCAACCCCCCAAAGAGCTCAACAGACTGAATTGAGGTCGAGACAATAGTACAATTTGATTGATTAACACAATTAGATTCCACACAAAAGTAACACAAATGAGTTCAAGCAAAATTTCAAGGAAAAAAGGAGTTTTTTTCACTTTTTTCATGTGAAAAATGAAATTATTACATTTAAAGATAGTTGTGAGGGGATTTTTAAAATATGAAATCAATGTTAATTTCTAATTCCATCTAACCAAATGATATATTTAAAAAAAATTACCATCTTTTCAAACTATGTTTTCTAATTTCAATCAACCCTAAACAATCCCTAAATAGAGAAAGGAAAAACCTGATATAGTTCACTAGAAATGATTCCCAATCCATAAGCATGTGGAACTTGAGTGGTGGTATCAACTTGTTCACCTGTTGCGGCATTACCAACTAAATAACCCTGAAAATTACCGAACGAGTTAAAATTTTTCTTTAATTCATTGAACCTAAGACTGATCAAACCTACATGAAGAACATACCTTGAAATTGATTAGAGGTTCCTGACCTCCTTCATTTCCTGCGTTCAAACATAAAACATTAATGATTCCTTAGCAAAAATAATTTATTTCAAACATAATCTATCAATTAACAAACCAATTCACCTTCAACTATTTTATGAGCAACAAGCACAGCCATCTTCCCACCGTATGAATCACCACCCATGTAGAAAGGATTTGAGAGGAATCTCGGATGATCGAGCAGCCACTACTCAATATAATATATTGATTGAGCATGGTTATAAAGTATAGCTTATAGTAGTGTTAAGTTGTGGAATTTAATTAATGTTAATGCCCTACAATAAACTATCTTGCACATAAACAATAATTAAAGTATTAAAATTTTGACAAAAAAGACATGAAAAACAAAAAATTTAACCAGCAGCTAAATATATTTACTGGTGAGAGAAGCAATTTGAGCATATTAATTACCTTCCTAAGAAACTGGTAGATAAATTCAGTCCCATTAACGTCCTCTGTGGTATAATCTTGTGCAGTTTTTGAGTAAGATAATCCAGTACCAATAGGCCAATCCACGAAGATCATGTTTGAAATCTGACAGCTCAGGAGATAATTTGAGAGAGGATTAAATACCATAATAATAATAATTAATTAAGCTCAAAATGGTTGGATTATGGCGCTTACCTTCGTCCAAGCAAAAGGATTAGCATATAAATTGGGCAGTTGGCCATCAAAATCATCAAGCTTAAATCTGAGAGGCCCTGCACAAACAGGTCAGTACAATGCATTAATGATCTTCAACCTCCACTCAAAAGACTATCAAAGTCAATAACAGCACCTAAAGGTTTATGCCATTGGAAGACTGTAAAACGAGGGGAACAAGTGAAAGAAATAGAAGCAAAGGCGGGGAAGAACAGAGCTTACCCATGTCCAAGGTCATGCCATTGATGGCCGAGCAGCCCGGCCCTCCAACTAACCACAGGAGGAGTGGATCTTCGCTTGGGCTTCTTTCAGACTCCACCAAGTAATAGAATAGCTCTGCTCCGCTCTTTTCGTTCATAGTCACATACCTTAATTTTTTCCGTCCAAAAAGCAAAACCGGAAATAATCAGTTCATGATTCATGCAAATAAAAGCTAGAAGATGACCAAATAGTTTGTTTAATTTTAGAGAGCTGCTGTAATCCAAAGTTTGAATCTTTATCATCTGGTAATATACTGTGGGCACTATTTGATTATCAGAATGCCACTCTCTAAAAAAAAAGTTGTATGGGTTTATTAGAGATCTGATAGACTAACCCTGTTTCAAGACGAAAGGGAAGTGGTCCGTCGAATCCAGGGAGACGAGTGATATTGTTGAAGGCAGAGAGAGAGGAAGAAATCAAGTTGAAGAACAGGAGGAGACACAGTGCTGAATCTAGCAGAAGAGGGAGCTGATGCCTGGAAGTAGACATGGCTGGCTGCGGCCTGCGTGAGGAAGAACTGAAGAAGAGCGAAGAGATAGACGAGTCACTATTTGAAAGAGACTGAAAATGTAAATGTTCGTTTCTACACCGAAGAAATGATGTGATGAACATGAATATTATATTATTAACTGATTAATTATCAAAAGCATTTATCATAACCAGTTACAGCAAAGTTAAGTATGTAGATCAGTTACTGAATATTCTATAGAGTCGCATGAGTATCTCGTGGTGTCATTTCAATCTAGCCATGGGAGTAGGTAGGAGTTTCTCGTGCAAATGCAAATGAAAGCATGGGACGTTGGATAAAGAACATCATAAAAGTTATTTCTATGTGAATAAAATGGCTTGAAATTTGATTAAAATGTGTATTATACTATCATATAACATATTTTATGATTTTTTATAAATTATTTATTTGAGCAAAAAATTTTTTTTTTTCTCACACTTCTAATCTTCTAACCAAGTTTATGAATATCATATCGAATAACATGGTCGGCGAAAAAAAATGTAGGCTATTTGGTTGACTAAAAAATGAATGTGGTGTGAAATGAAAATTTTGAAATTATTTGGATGAATGTAAATAATGTGCATCTCAACGGGAAAAACCCAACAAGCCCATGGTGGATCAACTTTTATTATACGCACGGAAATCCTAGAGCATAAATGTGCAAAGAATTATTAATAATCTATAAGATTAACACAAATCATATGATGGAGTGTATTAAGGATTTTAACAAAAATAACTAAACTCGCACCTAATAATTTTATAAATAAATCATCACTCTACATGTTCTCGAGATGGATATTTGTCACCTAATTCTAAGGCGGCCGTGGCAATTTGACATTGGAGCCATACATGATGGCCGAACAAATATATACACCTTCGAATGGAAGAACCACAAAATTAGACAATCGCCCCACTCATCCAATAACTGTAATAAAGAAGTAATCGACAAGGCTGTCATGTTTATTGTCTCCGGATTGACTCTCATCAGCTCCTGTCAAGAATCATCTGATATGCTTGCACTCATTGTCGTTGATTCCCACCAGAATAGCAAGTTTCAAGAATTACCTCAAGATGTTCATAACATCCTCCAACGCTATGCTGATATTTGGCCTCAAGAGCTACCTAATTCTCTGCCACCTTTATGCAGCCTTCAACATCAAATTGATTTGCAACCAGGAGCTACATTACATAATCTACCACATTATCGGATGAGCCCCCAAGAGCATGAAGCATTGCGAAGTATTATTGAAGAATTGCTGCATAAGAATTTGATACAACCCAGCCTTAGCTCGTGTGTCGTTCCTGCTCTACTTATACCAAAGAAGGACGAAAGTCGGCGGATGTACGTTGATAGCCGAGCTATCAACAAAATAATGGTGAAATACTATTTTCCAGTACTACGCATTGAATACATGCTCGACAAGCTTGCGGGTGCCACCATGTTCTCAAAGCTCAACTTGAGAAGCGGATATCACCAAATTCGTATTCGATCCATCGATGAATGGAAGACCGCTTTTAAAACCAGGATGGCTTCTACGAGTGGCAAGTTATGCCTTTCGGACTGTGCAATGCACCTACCACGTTCATGTGGTTGATGAATGAAGTTCTAAAACTAGTTCTTAGGAAATGTTGTGTAGTCTACTTTGATGACATTCTTGTTTTTAGCTCAACTCCTCAAGACCATCTAACTCATCTCCTTTCTATTTTTGAATTTTGAGAGCACATAAGCTCTATCTTAACTTTCCTAAGTGTGAGTTTGCAACATGTTCTGTCCACTTTCTTGGATTCATTATTTCTAGCAATGGCATTCATATGGACCCCCAAAAGGTCAATGCAATCATAGATTGATCAGTTCCCCAATCGATCTCAGAAGTCTGCAGCTTCATTGGATTAGCAAACTTTTCTTGTCAATTTATCCAGGGTTTCAACTTTATTCTAGCACCAATCATAGATTGCCTTAAGGATAAAACATTACGCTGGACTCAAGATCAACAACATAGTTTCGACATTATCAAAGTCGCATTCAGTTCAGCCCCTGTGTTGGCCATTCCGAACTTTAACTATTCATTTCATGCGGACATAGATGCATCCATCGTGGGTATTAGGGTTGTCCTTTCGCAAGAAGATCAGCCAATCAAATTTTCAGTGAAAAATTGACTCCCGCCCACCATAATTGCTCTTCCTACGAGGAAGAATTATATGTCATTTTTCGGGCCTTGAAGCAAATGGAGCATTATCTGCTACACCATGACTTTATCTTGAGTAGTGACAATCATGCACACCAATTTATTAACAGCCAAAAACTAGTAAATAAAATGCATGCAAGGCAGTCACTTTTCTACAAAGATTTAGTTTTGTATTGAAACATAAGTCTTGAACCCAGAATCGAGTTGCGGATGCACTCAGTAGACGCACAACCTTAGTAATTAAGCTACAAACGGAGTTGCAAGGACTCCAAAGTCTTCTGGAGTTGTATTCCACGGACAAGGATTTTTCTTCACCATTGACAGAACTGTCAAGTCTCCAGCTGCTTCATTCTAGAATTTTTCACTCTAGCATGATTATTTGTTCAAAGGTGGCTTGCTGTGCGTACCAGACTCATCTTGGTGAGAGCATCTGATCAAGGAAATGCGTAGCGGCGGACAAGCTGCTTATGCGGGCAGGACCAAAACTCTAGAATAGATGCAAATCAGATTTTACTAGCCTTACATGCGTTGTGATGTTATAAGGTTTGTAGAATAGTGTCCTATTTGTCAAGCATAAAAAGGAAATGATCAGAAAACCAGGTTGTACATGTGTTACCGGTGTCAAACTCCATTTGGGAAGACTTGAGCAAGGATTTTGTTTTGGGATTACCACGAACAAAGCGAGGTGCATATTCCTCGAAATGGTTTTTCGTTGACCGATTCTAAAAAATGTCTCATTTCCTCGCTTGAAAAAAGGCATTTGACGCTCTCAACGTAGCCATTCTCTTCTTTAAAGAGATTGTACACCTGCATGGATTGCCCCGCAGTATCACATCGGATCGTGATGTCAAATTTGTAAGTCATTTTTTGGCGAGAATTGTGGAAACACTTGCGGAGTGAAATTAAATTTAGTTCTTCCTATCATCCTCAAACTGAAGGCTAGATAACTAGTTAACCGCTCGCTAGGTAATATGATGCGATGTATAACACATGAATATCCCAAATAGTTGAACGATTATTTAGGTCAAGCAGAATTTTCCTATAATTCCATGGCTAACCGATCCACCGGACAATATCCGTTCAACATCGTCTACACTAAGGTACCTAACCACGTTGTTGACATCATTGTCCTTCCTAAATATAAGAGTAAATACGCATTTGAAACCAAGGAGAAATACACAAAAATGCTAGAGGATGTCAAGGCCAAGTTATCAATTGCTAATGATAACTACAAACATCTTGTCGATGCACATAGGCTTGAGGACTATTATATGAGAGTATGCAAAAGAGAGAACTAATTGTAACTCTATTTTCTCCAAAATAGTAAAATCATCCCATCCCGTGGACGTAGGCATCTCTGCCGAATCATGTAAGTCGCTTTGTGTTTGATTATGATTTTCTAGTTGTTTCCGCTGTTTTGAACGACAATTGGTATCAAAACCAAATACTGGTGGGATTTCCGACGATGGCTTGAATCAATTCTTTGTGGTTTATATAGCAAAAAAAAGGAAAAGATGTCGAAGACGGGCATGCATGCGCGTGATGATGAAAGCGGGAGGCCAAAGAAGGTTTGCTTCTGCGCATGGAAGGCTCGCGCATGAAAGCGGGCCAAGACAAACATGGTTTCATGAGTGATAGTCACAATCAAGTGCGGGCAATCAATTGCTCGATATGCATGTGGTTTTGCTCGAAGAAGCCTGGTGGGAGATGGACTATTGTGTGGAAGACTAGGTTACGGGCATGGGCCATACGAAGTAGACGTAGCTTGCACCTTGCAGTTTTTCAATATACACGTGAAGTGCTGCCTCTAGATCGTAGACACGTGGGTGTGCGACCTGGGTCAGAACTCACGCAAGTGCATGTCTAGAGATAACAAAGTCGTGCAAGATGGTTTTGCATGGGCAGGAGACCAATGGGAGTAGATGCGTCTTCTTTGGTGAGCGCCTAAGTCAGAGCAATAGCTTGATTTTGGGCATGGATCACATATTCAATTTCTTTCTATTTGTAGATCCAGTACAAATTGCGCTCGTGTTTTTCTTATTCGCGCATAACAGGAGGTTGGATGGGCCATACCTTGGCTAGGAAGTGTGGGAGACTCTCATGTTTGTGATTTGGGCTGTTCGAATACGAATCTCATGGCTAAGCTATTAGTTTTTTGTTCTGGATCATTGTTGGAAGAAGAAAGAGAGCTAGATTGATATAATTTTGGCTATGCCAGAGAGTTGAAATTTTTTGGAGACTATGAGATCCAGTGGAGTTATGGATATATTCACCTCGTCGGTGGAGAAGACGTCGATCCATCAGATGGTTACACATCCTGTTAACATTGATGTGATGAAATTTGATTGCAAAGGAAACTTTGGCATGTGCAGATGTGAGATGATGGATGCGCTATGCTCGTTCAATCTAGAGGATACTCTTGATAGTGATGAACGTCTTGAAGAGAATTCTAAGAGAAATTGATTGAAAATGAATCAGAGTGTTTGTGGCTTGATCTGAATTTTCTTATTTCAAGAGATCAAGTATTGTGTGATGATGGAGACTTTTACAGTGAAACTATGGAAGACTTTGAATAATTAGTATTCAACGAAGAGAGCAGAGAATCGTCTTCATATGAAATATTGCTCTACAAATTTTAGATGAGATATGGGGTTACTATTGATAAGCCAAATGTATTCACAAAGCTATTAATAGATCTATTTAATCTAGATGAGGAGGTTGGAGATGAAGAAAAAGGGGCTTCTTTTATTGAATTTGCTCTCTGATGAATATGAGAATTTTATAACGACTCTCATTCATATGAAGGAGATCTTAAATTATAGTGAGGTGGCTACGATATTATTTATTCATGAATTCCAACATAGGGATAAAGAATCTGTAAAGATGG